CCCTCATGCCTCAGCCAGCCCTTCCACAGTACATTGAGCTGGATCGGAGAAGCCTCAGGCTGGCAAGCTAACCCCCTGTGCCCTCTACTAGCTGGAGCTGCTTTGACCTGGCTTAAGAGGCTGTGGTCCCATGCACACATGTAAACACTGTGCCTGAGAACAATAAACTCTTGTGTGATAAGTATCAGAGTTTATTGTGTTGCATTAATATGTAGATGTAGACACGTCCACTGTTTAGGTTGCAATGGTTGCCTGAGTTAACTCCCTACCTTTATGTTGGTTGTTCTTTTGATACCTCTTGCCATAAAACCAGCTGTTATAAGCTCCCATGAAGCTCCGCCTGACTTCTTCCTCTGTTTGTACAGCACCTTGTGTGATGAGGGCTTGACTTGACAGGGTCCTCCGCCTGTAATACAGCTGCCTTTAGCTAGACACTGATGCAGCACTTTTTCACAGTACTTTCTATATGGCCTGTGCATTGCGTAGGAAGTGCATTGCAAAGCTCAGACCATAGTGAATTACAGCTTCCTCCTTACTGCTAAACTGATCCACTTCCAGCCATTTAAAACTTTTTTTTTTAACCTGTTCTTCCTTCAGAAGCGGCAGATCCTGGTGACACTCATAGAAATTTGCTTGCCATTGCTGTTTGCTGCAATCCTGATAGCACTTCGTCACCGTGTGCATTCAGTCAGCCACCCCAATGCCACCATCTACCCCAGGCAGTCGGTGCAGGAGCTGCCATGGTTTTTTCGCTATCGGCAGCCGAGCAACCCATGGGAGCTGGCCTACGTCCCCTCCAACAGCACGGCTGTGAAGAGCATTGCCGAGGCGGTGGAAAAGGCTTTGCATGTCAATATCAAAGGTTAGCATTGACTGGGAGTTGCAGAGGTGGGAGGAGGTCTCTTAAACATTCATGTTGTGTATGTGAGCAACATGCCTGTAAACACGTTATGTATAGCTCTGATTGAGCAAATTTGTAGGCCCATACTTAAAGGTCTGTTAATTTAGTGCTTTGCTGAGCTGGGGCCTACAGTCAGGATGTTTTAACTGTGTAGGTAACTGGCAGGGAGCGATGAAGACTTCCCTAGGTTAATCATTTCTAGGGTCTAGAGTTCAGAACCTCTTCCGTGTTGGTAGTGACTTCCTTGTAAGGGCTGAACCTTTGGCTATTAAAGTTAAAGGAGCCCTTTCAAAAATTGGACTTCTGTTTTGCAATTGATGCTTGAGGCTTTCATAGCAGAACACGGAGTTAAAAAATAATGCTCCCTTTTATTAATTTTTTTGCACTTGCTAGCACTTTGCATCTAGTTGCTTTCACTGTTTTCTCCTGTATATCCAGTAGAGTTGGTCAAAAGTTCCTGACAAAACAGGTTTCCATGAGAAGATGCTGATTCTATGAACTTGGAATGTTTTAAATGAGAAATTTCTGTAAAGTTTCCTAAGGATGAAACACTTCATTTCAATTTCTGTTCATATTACATTTTATAATCCAGAAATTAAAACAGTGGCTTCTACATGTCAAACTTGTGACATTGCTTAGTTTTGATTATAGCTATTTTGACTTTCCTGAGTGAAAAGATTTTGGAGGTCACATTTATGCCATAAACTTCATAATTTCACTTTTTTTTCCAATCTGGAATCAGGACAAACGTCAGGATTTCCTGTGGAATGGAAATTTTGCCTTCCCCCAAGCTCTTAAGCAGTTTCTTATGTAATTTTTGTGGGTCTCTTATCCAGCAGGAGGGTTGGGTGTGTGCTTCTAAAATAGGGAAATGTCAGAGCAACCCATGCTGTGCCTCGGGGAGGATCAGGGCTGGGACAGGAGGGGCTGAGTTGATACAGCTGTTTGCAGGGAGTTGAATGGGGCTTGCTTGAGCCCAGTCTGTCCTTGAGTTCAGTTTGGTATTGAAAAACCAGTCTGTATTGTGTGGGGTTAGCTCTCCTCTCTTGGAAAAGAAAAAACACAACCCCTTTGGTATCAAGAGCTGACAGTGCTTGGTTTGGGTGGTGACATTATCAGGCTGGCAGTCCCTGGCACCTTGTCTTTGGGTAGAAATCTGAGCTGAATATTCCCGGATGAAGGCAAAAATCTGGTGAAATGGGTTTGCCAGCTACTGCTGCAGGGTACTCACCTGTGCACCAAGGAGCCCTTCAGAACTGAAGTCCAAGACCTCCACGCTCTCAGACATATTGAAGTTTCCCCTTGTGGCAGTGTGTTTCACTCCCTTGCATGGGCAGCTTATTCTGTGGACTTTCTTCTTTTGCAGCTCACGGCTTTTCCTCAGAGAGGGAGTTTGAGGACTATGTAAAGTTCAATAACCACTCAGGCAATGTGTTGGCCGCTATTGTTTTCAAGCACCACTTCAATCAGAGCAAAGACCCTTTGCCACTCCAGGTAAGTGAGCCTGTAGAGAAGGCAGTAAGGAGTTGGCATCCCCAGGAGATAGTGGCCCCCAAGCCAAGCCACAGTGACACGAGGAAGACTGTCCCTGTTGCGATGTTACCATGTCAGTGATGGTGTAATGTCAACTCCAGATACTGTGATTACAAAGAGCGGCATAAAAGCACCCTGACATACACATGAGAAACAACTTCTCTGCTGGACAGTGCCAATAACCTTAAATGGGGAGACAGTGATGACTGGCATTTCTCCAGCCCAACCCATAAAGAGCAATATCTGTAGTGATGTTTTTGGGTGGGGCTTTACTATGTATGAAGAATGTGGGGACAGGATATTTTAATTTGGTCCCTTGTGGTCCTTCATGGTGTTAGCCAGTGCACCGCGTGATTCTCCTGCCCAACTGATGTTGTCTTTTGTGCTGTGATTCTCTGTTCAGTCATAGTATCATAGAAAATTAAAATTGGAAGGGACCTCAGGAGGTCATCTAGTCCAACACCCTGCTCAAAGCAGGATCATCTCCAACTAGATCATCCCCACCAAAGTTTGTTTAGCCAGGTCTTAAAAACCTCCAAGGATGGAGATTCCACCACCTCACTAGGTAACCTGTTCCATTGTTTTACTATCCTAGTGAGAAAGTTCTCCCTAATATCTAACCTAAACTTCCCTTGCTGCAACTTGGGACCATGACTCCTTGTTCTGCCATCTGCCACCACTGAGAACAGTCTAGCTCCACCGTCTTTGGAACTACCGTTGGAAGTAGTTGAAGGCTGCTATTAAATCCCCTCTCAGTCTCCTCTTCTCTAGACTAAATAAGACCAATTCTCTCAGTCTCTCCTCAGAAATCATGTCACCTAGCCTCCTTACCATTTGTTGCCTTACTCTGGACTGCCATCAACTTGTCCACATCTTTTCCATAGTGGGGACCCAAAACTGAACACAGTACTCCAGAAGTGGCCTCACCAGTGCTGAACAGAGGGGAATAATCACTTCCCTCGACCTACTGGCAACACACCTACTAATGCAGCCCAGTATGCTGTTAGTCTTCTTGGCAACAAGGGCACACTGCTGGCTCATATTCAACTTATTGTCCACTGTAACTCCCAGGTCCCTTCCTGCAGAGCTGCTGCCCAGCCAGTCTTCCTCCAGCCTGTACCGGTGCATGGGATTGTTCTGTCTTAAGTGCAGGACTTTGCACTTGTCCTTGTTGAACCTCATGAGATTTCTTTTGGCCCAGTTCTCCCATTTGTCGAGGTCACTCTGAATCCTAGTTCTACCCTCCAGCATATCTACTACTCCCCCTATCTTGGTGTCATCTATGGACTTGTTGAGGGTGCATTCCATCCCATCTTCCAGATCGTTGATGAAGAAAACCAGCCCCAGAACTGACCCTGGGGCACCCCACTTGATACCGGCTGCCAACTAGACATCAGGCCATTGATTACTACCCGCTGAGCCTGATGCCAACTAGACATTGAGCCATTGCTTGCAGGAAGACCCCTATGAATGTCTAGTTGGATTCTGTCAATTAGACAGTCACAGATTACTACCCTCTGATGCTCCAGCCAGTTTTCTATCCACGTCATAGTCTATTCATCCAGCCTGTACTTCCTTAACTTGCCTATGAGATTGTTGTGGGAGATCATATCAAAAGCCTTGTTAGAGTTAAGGTACACCACATCCACTGGTCTCCCCACATCCACAGAGCCAGTCACCTCATCATAGAAGGCAATCAGGTTGGTCAGGCATGCCTTGCTCTTGGTGAATCCATGCTGACTGTTCCTAATCACCTTCTTCTCCTCCAAGTGCTTAGAAATGGATTCCTTCAGGATCTGCTCCATGATTTTTCCAGGGACTGAGGTAAGGTTGACTAGTCTGTAGTTCCTTG